CCCACTTCAAGGAGGTTAATTACAGCCCGGAGGGGAGGAGGCCCGGCCCCATGGCCCTGGCTCTGTTCCTCCCCTGCAAGTGCCCAGCTCTCATGTGATGTGTGCTGCCACGTGAAGGGGACGGGGAATGGCCGAGTCCCCAGGCTCAGGAACAAGTAGGGCATTTGTCATGGGAGTAAAAGGGTTTTGTCTCTGCAGGAAGATTGCAGGCTGCTCTCCCCTTCCGCTGCTTGAGTTGCCCTGCGCTCTGTGGCAGCTGGTTTGTGGGCTCCCACCTGCAGCACTGTAAGAGCAGGGACTGAGTGTACACCACTGCTGTCCCTCTGCCCAAAACCTTGTCCTGTCCCAGTACCAGGAGTGCAAACTCAGCGGTGTGAGGGCAGCAGCCTTGCCTGCCCCAGCATCTCTCAGCAACCAGCATGCAAAAAAAGCACTGAGAGCTCTGTAAAGAGCTGAGATTTGGGCTTTCACACAGCTCAATCTGCCTGGAAATTTCTCCAGCGAGCACACGAGATCTGGTGACCCATGTGATGTCATTGCTGCTGTGATCTGGCCTGGGAGGGTGCTGGCACAGGTGAGCTGCACTCTACCTTTGGGGCGGCCGTTCTGCTCCTCCCCTGGGGCCAGCTCCACTTTTGACTGGCTTGGGCTGCTGCCCAGGTTATCATGAGCTGCTGCTGCTCCCTTCTCTCAATCCCACTGCAAACAGAATAACTGGGAGAAGCCAGGCTGCAGAGGAGGAGAGCACAAACCTCAGGAGACTGCATTTCATCCTGCTTGGGCTCTGTCTGCTGGGCGTTGCCTCGCTTGTGCCACTACTGAGGCCTTGCAGGGGCTTCCTGTAGGGAAGGGGACAGGGATTTTGGTGCCCATCTGTTGGATATCATGCCTGTGTGGGGCAGAACACTTCTTGTAGCTTCATCAAGGTGGGGCCTCCAGCTAAATCTCAGTCTTTACTTTTTTTGTTTCAGCTGTCGTGGAGGAGTCGCCTTCCCAGTGAGTGAGAGCAGCCACATCCTGCTCTTCCTACTGCCCACGGTGGCCTGGCTCAGACACACTCCAGGCTCCAGAGCTCCTCAGCTGCCCTCTGAAGGCTGCAGTCTGGAAACAGAGAGCTCCTAACGATGGTTCCCAAGGAACCAGAGCTGGTCTCACTTATTGAATTGTCACTGTGAACCTCCAGTGCCTGAGAGTCACAGCCCTGGACGTGCCCAGAGCTCTGGTGCTGCCTTCAGGGGGTCACACCGTGGCTCTTCCCCTCCCTGCTGGAAGTGCCTGTGTGGAAGAGTGAGGAGCACAGAGGTTGTTTTCCTCTGTGGAAGCTGTTTCTGGTTACAAAGCCCAGGCTGACAGCTCCGTGTCTGAGAGAGCTGTCAGCCTTTGCACAGCAGCGTCTGGAGTCAGGGCCCCAGGCGCTGTGCTGGGTGACTAAATGCAAACCTCTTTGCTAATTAGAGAAGTCTGTCCGTTCCCATCCCCCCCTAAAACGTTTCACCCATTTATTGAGCACACTTTGGAGGGTCCTGCCTGCAGGGCTGGCCTCCCTGTGCTGCACAGCTCTCCCCAAATGCTGCCTGGAGCTTTCCAATTACAGCCTCCCCTGGCCCCAGGAGGTCGCTGGAGGATCCTCCAGCTGACATTTGTCCTCAGGCTCCTCAGTCCTGCTGCTGACCGGCTCACTGGCTCCCAGCTGAGCTAGGGAAGGCAGCAAAACACAGCCAGTGATTGTCAGTACTTGAAGTTTTTAACCCAGATTTGTCCAGTGAACTGATGAGCTTCCACCAGGGGTCTTTGTGGGCAGGAGAAGCACATCCGTGTGCTATGGACAGGAGTCACGTTTTTTGTCTCCAGAAGGGTCGTTTCCTTTCCTTTATTTTTTTTCCTCTTCTTTTCTTTTTTTAACTTACATTTGCCCTGGGCCATTTTTTGATGAGCTTCTGTCTCTGATCTGTCTGACATTGCAAATGCTCTTGCCTTTCACATCCATCTTTGTGCTGTTGCCAATCTGTTGTGTATAAAGTCGGTGCTTTCATAAGCTGGCTGAGATGAAATCTCTCTAATTATTTTTGTGATTCTTTCCTGTTTTCAATGAGGGAAACCTCAACGGGCTCTGGTAAAAGCCAACTGATCCCTCTGTCATGTGGAAGGTAATGAATTTCTGCAGCTCCTGCCCGTGCTTCCCTCGCCTGCCAGGCTCCAGCTGGGAAGGGAGCAGGTCCCGTCCGGCCGGGAGAGGCGTGTGCAGCCCTGGCTGCAGACACAGCCTCCCTCTTTGGCTCCTGGCAGGGTGGGTGCATGGGTTTTTCCCTGCCTTTTTTGTTTCTGGTGGAGCTGCCTTTTCAGGCGGTTACACCCTGCTATCCCAGGAAGCCGGCTGGAATTCAAAGGTTCTGCCAGTCCTTTGGCACTTTCCTGTGCTGCAGGTTACGGAGACGGCTCGGCGTGGAAGGTGCTTCCCCTTCCCAGACCAACCTGGGCACCAGGGTGGCTGCAGGGCTGGGCTCAGTTGCCTCAAAGCCTCTCTGGGCCACTGCCTCTCCTCCCTGTGTGGAGCTGGCAGAAGCTCCAGCACCTTTCCAATATCAGATTTCTCTTGCCTGTGTTGTGCAGAGCTCTCAGGGCTCCCCTTGTCCCACACCCCATTCAAACACACCCCATAGGAAGGGGCTGGTGTTCCTCCTGCAGCCTTGCCAGGACAGCAGCAGGCAGGACAGAGGCCTAACACCCTTTGTCTTGTCAGTAGTGGCACCAGAATACCACTGCTTCAGGAGCCAAGCTCTTCCTGCTCTGGCTGGGCTGCCAAATCCAGGGGTGCGGCCCCCCCACCTGCTTCCTATCAGTGCACTGGTGTTAGGTGAATGATTTTATGGCTTTATGACACCTTTGCACTGCAGTGCTGACACTGGAGGTGTCACCAGCTTGAATATTGGGCTCTTTTGCTCCAGACTGGGGAAACCAGTGTGGCCCAGTGCCCTTTGTGCTGGGCTGGGGGCTCCGGGGAGGGCAGGAGCCCCCGGGATTTCACAGCCCGGGCTCTCCACACAGGAGTTCAGCTGTGAAGCCCAGCGAGATCATTTGAATAATTTAATACCGGGCTGTGACCAAGCCTAGCGAAAGGGTAAAGGAAACAAAGAGGCCCCCAGCCCCGAGCAACAAAAGCTCCTGGAACGACAAGCCGAGGCATGTCCGTGCTGCCGCAGGCAGAGAGCAGCCCGGGCAAATAGGCCACTTGCATTCCTCACGTCGGCTGCTTTGTTTCCCTGCAGAAGCTGCCGGTGAAATCTGCAGGTCTCGGGGCTTCTCCCTTTATCCTGGTTTTGTTCTGGGCTGTGTGGAGCTGCTGGTGGATCGCTGTCCCCGCGGCTCTCCCTGCCCAGGGGAGGCAGGGCTGGAGGGGAAGGGGAGGTGATGTGGGATGAGGCTGCCTGGTCCCTCTGGTGCATCCTGGAGCGGGTCCCCTCTGGCCACTGTCACCCAGGGAAAGGCTGTCCCTGTTCCAAACGAGATCCTGCTGACTTGGGGCCATTACTGCAGCAGGAAGCCGCCTGCTGATCCCGCAGCTGATTTGTTTTGATTCCGGCACCTCTGTCGAGGTCGTATCCTCATTCCCACGAGGCTTAGGCAGGAGGTGCGGCTGCTGTCCCTCTGTCCGTCTGCCTGCATCCCCTACCCTGCCCTCCCTGGGCACGAGGCCCCAGCAGCCGGGAGGGGACTCTCCCCACTCCTTTCCCTGCGGCCAAGGGCTCCACCTGAACTCGTTTGGGAGCCGCAGCGTCGGTTTTCTGTCCCTCCAGTTGAAGTTAAATACAAGGCGGAGGGATGGAGTAGCAGGGAGAGGCTGGGGAAGAGGACAGGAGGCCTCTCCGAACTCGGATGGTTTCAAGAAGTGACCCATCACGGGAGACAGGGAACATATCACCTCCACAAAGGGAATTGCCCTGAGTGTCGCCTTTGTGTGAGACAAATGCCTGGCTGTGATGTGGAGCGCGGGGAGGGCTTTGCTTGGGGAGAGGGGAAAAGGAGGGATCTTTGTTTGCAGGGTCTGACACCTCCCAGCCACCCTGCCGGCACAGCCAGCACCTTCTGATGGCTTTGTCAGCTCCTGGCTAATTAGCAGAGATGCTCTTCGGTGAGGTTAGGGAAGAATAATTTTAAAACATCAAAGAGAAGCAGTAAATAATGATAAAAGTCGGCTGTTTCATGGTTGTCATCGGAGGCACAGGCTGCCTGTGTTTACAGGACTGATGTGTCCTGTCTTTGGAGTCCCATCAACCCCCAGGGTACCAAGGACTGTCCTTTTGGCCTGAACCTTGTCCCAGAGTCGTGTCCAGGGACAGTTTCCAGTCGGGGCCAGGTCACAGCGTGTCAGGGACAGTGTCTGGGTTGTGCCTATCTCTTGTTGGAGACAGCCTGGCTCCGGGCTCTGCTGGCACAGAGCGGCAGAACCAGCTGGACCGTGGGGCTGCTGCCCTGGGGGTGTCACAGCCCCGAGCAAACCCTGCTGGGGAGCACCTCAACCCCAGCTCAAGGTGGCTGTTGCACCCCACTGCTCCCTGTACAGCTGCCCACTGTCACTTGTTTTTACCTGTCGGGTTTCCAGTATCACTGGGAGCTGGTTAAAGTTTAGCTCAGTGCTCTCCATCATCTGAGCAGCAGCTCACGTCTCCTGGAAAATCCCCTGCTGATGGCAGCTCGCGCTCAGTGTACCCCAGTGCAAGGTTCCCTGATATTTGGGAGCCCCAGTGCAGCTCAGAACAACCTGCCATCCCTCAGGGTATCCCCAAAAATGAGCCACCCATCCTTCCCTGGCAGCTCTGGCAGCGAGCAGGCTGCCTCCCCCCGGGCTGCTGCAGGGTTTTATTTTAAGCAGAGCCTCTCGGGGAGAAGGGTAACGTGAGCTCCTTGAGTGACAAGTGATAGAGCTCGACTTGCTCAGCGTGTCCCCCAGGAATCCCTTTCCTCTGCCATTTGCTAATTGAAAACTGCTAACATTTGGGTCTGGAGCAACTGCCGCCCTTAATGGGAAGCTGGCTGGAGCGAGCGTTGGTGGGACTAACACATGCTCACAGCCTGTCATCTGCTCGGCTCCATCTCTGGGGAAAGGGGCAAATACTCCCATATGCTGCTCTGATTTCTCAAAGAGTGACGAGGGGGCTGGAGCCAGACAGATTTGCTTTTATTCTCCCTCCTCCAGGCTCTTGCTCAGTTACAAACCGTGGCTGGAGGGAGGCAGCCTGGGCTGTGAGTCCCCAGCAAGACAAAGCCACAGGAGCGTGTGTCCCCCTCGTTCCTGTGGCATGGAGGGCTCAGGGCAGCCCCTCCATGTCCTGCTGCGGGTGGTGGCTGGGACAGGAGCTGCTCTGTGGCAGGAGCAGCCCTGGGAGCTGTATCCCACCCCCGGCCGTGCCTCGGGCTGCCTGCAGGAGTGTGGCACCCCTGGGACACCGCAGGGTCAGCGAGGACACCGAGGACACCGCAGTGCGTGCCCGCAGAGCCCAGGGGGGCTGCAGAGGGCGAGGGGGCCGTGTGAGATGCGATGCTGATGCTCCCCAAACTCCTGCGGTGGCCGTTCCCAGTGCGGAGGGCACCGAACCCCCCAGAGGGCTGTGCCCGGTGGGGCGCTCCCCAAGTCCCCGGGGTGGCTGCACCCCAGACCCCTGGCAGGGGCTGTCCCCGTGCGGTGCCCCCCGAGCCCCCGGGCTGCCGGCAGCGCTGCATCCCCCCCGTGCGGGGGGCGGGGGCGGTGCCGTGCCGTTCCCCGTGGCGGGGCGGGCTCAGGCCGGTCCCACCGCCCCGTCCGGCCTCCGGGCGGAGCCGGGCACGGAGCGCGGAGCGCGGAGCCGAGCGGGCGCGGGGCGGCGGCGGCGGGGTCGGGATGCCGGGCTACGACTACAAGCTGCTGGAGCGGCCGCGGCGCCGGGTGCTGTGCCCGCTCTGCGGGAAACCCATGCGGGAGCCCGTCCGCGTCTCCACCTGCGGCCACCGCTTCTGCGACACCTGCCTGCAGGAGTTCCTCAGGTGAGACCCCGCACCACCCCACGGGCGGCCCGAGCTGAGGTTGCTCCGGGCACCCCTTCCCCCGTGGGGCACCCCGCACCCCGCACCGCCCGATGCGGGGACCCGCACCCCGGGCGGCAGCGGGGGCTCCTCGCCATCGCCAGCCCCCGTCCGCCGCCGGGCCCGGGGTGCCCCGGGGAGGGGTGCGGTGTCCCGGGGGTGCCCCGGGCCGGTGCCGGAGTGCGGGGTGCTCCGGGGGTGCGGGTGCCCCGGGCCCGGGAGGGAATGCGGGATAATCCCGGGAAGGGGCGCGGGCTAACTGAGGGTGCGGGGAGAGATGCGGGGTGCCCGGGGGTGCTCCGGGCCGGGGAACGGCGGCGGTGTGCTGCGGGACAAGGCGCTGAGTGCCCCGGGAAAGCCGTGGAGTGCCCCGGGAAGGGTGCGGGGTGCCCCGGGATGCCTCGGGCCAGGGAAAGGTGCGGGGTGCCCGGGGCGCCCCGGGGCAGGGAGGGGGTGCGGGGCGCGCCCAGCCCGTGACAGCCGCCCAGCGGGTGCAGCGGCCCGTGGCCCCTTTCGCTGAGGAGGAGGAAGAGGAGGGCCGGGTGAAGCCCGGAGCGGCGAGTTTCGAGAATCGAGCTTAACCCCTTCCTGCCCCGGCCCCGCCGGAGGAAGTGGCCGGGGGTGTTTTTGGGGAGGGGCGCACGGCCACCCCGGGGTCCCCGCGCCCACGGGTGAGCGCGACCCGGCCGTGTGCGCTGGACGGCAGCGAGGAGCCGGGGCCTCCTCCGAGCCCTGCGTTTGGGACCCCCGGTACCGGCAGCCGGGGCACACGTGCGGGGCCGGTGCTGTCCCGGGGACAGCGGGGGTCCCGCGGGGCACGGCCCGTGCTCCCTCCGGGCGGGGACAATCCTCACCCCGGGCCTTTCCCAGCGACCTTCGCCCGGGGACAGCTCACGGGCACCACCGTCACCGGGGCCGGTTTCTGTGAAACCGGGCGTTCCCCGGGCACGTGTCAGAGCGCATCTGTCCCCCCGCTCCCCCGCACCCCTCCCGCCGGCACCTCCGCTCTGCCGGGGGGAACGGCCCCGGGGCATCCCCCGAGCACAGCGTGTTTGCCCCGGCTCAGTTTGGGGCTCCCGTGGGCTGAGCCATCCAGCCCCACCGCGGTGCTGGGAGGGGGTGTCGGGGGCTGCCGGGGCTCCCCACACCTTCACCTCGCTGTGCCCCAACACGCCGTGAAGGTCAGAGGCAAGGACGGTCCCCCCGGGTGCTGCCTCAGCACATTCCCTGCCCGGCCAAGCGTGAGGAATGGGGAGGCTTTGTCGGGGATTAGGCGCTGGCTTCGGGTCATCGTCCCACTTCCCTGCCAGCCGCAGCACCCCAACACCGTGCACGGGGTGCAGGCACAGCTGGCAGCGTGGAAGGGCAGCAGAGTGATCCCGGGGCAGTGCCAGCCACGAGGCAGTGCCACGGGTGCCCGGCCCTGTCTGGCCCTTATCTCGGTGGATCCCTGATGACTCCCACAAAACCACCTGCGACAAACAGAGGGGGCACGTGGCAGAGCTGGCTGCAGCCCTTCCTCACGTGGGTCGCACCCCACGGGGTGTTCCTGGGGTTCACTTGCACTGCCAGCACGGCTTGGTGGCCGCAGGGGACAAGCCCAGGCTGGCGCGTGCCCGGCGGCACTGCTGGCTCCGTCCTGGAGGCTCACATCCTCTTGGCAGCTCTGGTCGAGGCCACGCCAGTGCCTGCCAAGGGCTCGCAGTGATTAGATGGGCACAAGGGCTGTCCAGGCAGGACAGCCTTGTCCAGTGTCACCTCAAAGAACAGCAGAGGCACAGGGTCCCTTTGTGTCCCTGCTGCGTGTCCCTGTAGGCAGCACCTGTGGTCTCCCAGCCCAGTGTCCATCAGGGATGCTGCATGGACATGCTCTCCACCCCCTGGGCACAGCGATGTGTGGGCCAGAGGTGATGGTGACTCCTGGGCAGCTTTGTCACAGGCCAGGCTGCCTTTTGGCTGGGTCCTTGTCTCCACTTTCTGCTGCTCCTCTGCATGGCAGGACTGAGCAGGGCCCTTCCCACCTCAGGGACAGCTCCTGAGGGCCCAGCAGGATGGGGACCCCTCCAGGGGGGGCTGCCCGTCCCCCTGCCCTGACTCACCGTGGTGGCTGCTGGGGCCATTTCCTGTGGAGCAGGAGCCCCAGGGCTGCACATCTGGCGCCCAGCTGTTGCCCTCCCCCTCCTCCCCAGGTGCCCCTGCCGGCCCCCTCCTGGCCAGCACCCTGCTTAATCCCGGGGGACGGGGTGGGCGAGGGGCTGCCGGGGCTGCAGATGGTGCCAGGGGCTGGCCCGGGCCCTGGGGAGCGTGGCCGGGCGGAGGGGGCTGCCCGGGGGTGTCTGGCGGGGGCATTTCCCAGCTCAGACAGATGGAGCAGGATTAGAGCCGCGGCTCCCCCAGGGTGGCAGCTGGATTTGGTACGGGGTGAGCGCTCAGCAGCGCAGGGCCAGCAGCCATGCCCTGGGGTGGGACACGGTGGCTGTGTCACTGGTGACCCCCAGCGATCCCGAGCCTTCTGTGTCTTGCAGCGAAGGCGTCTTCAAGTGTCCGGAGGACCAGCTGCCCCTGGACTACGCCAAGGTGAGCCTGGCACACGGATGGGTACCCTGCCCCACCACGGGGCCGTCCCCAGCTCTGCACAGCGCCTGGCACAGCCACTCCGGCCTGGCACGGGCGCCCGGGCGGAAGCAAGAGCCCTTTGTGCCGCGGGCCGGGCAGCGGAAACCCGCTCCCGACAAAGGGCGCTTGTTGCTGTGCCCGGGGGGGATCCGGCCCCGGGCAGCGTGCCCAGGGCTCCCAGCCAGGCTGTGCTGGGGGCTGTGTGCCCCTCAGCCCGCTGCAGGGTGCTGATACCCCACTGCTGCCCCTGCAGATCTACCCCGACCCCGAGCTGGAGGCGCAGGTGCTGAGCCTGGCCATCCGCTGCATCCACAGCGAGGAGGGCTGCCGCTGGAGCGGGCTCATCAAGCACCTCCAGGTAGGGCCTGGGAGGATGGGGACGGGCAGGGTTGTACCCCGTGGCCTTCCCGTCACCATCCCCGTGTCCCCCAGGCCCATCTCGGCACCTGTGGCTTCAACGTGATCCCCTGCCCCAACCGGTGCAGCGCCAAACTGAGCCGCCGTGACCTCCCCGAGCACGTCCAGCACGGCTGCCCCAAGCGCAGGGTCAAGTGCGAGTTCTGCGCCAGCGACTTCACCGAGGTGGGCACTGGGGGGGACACTGGGGGGGACACCGCTGGCCGGGGTGCCATGGTGGGTGTGGCTGTGCTGGGGGTGTAGCTGGGATGTGTGGGCACCCCTTGGGCTGCAGGGGCACTGTGGGGACACAGCCTGGGGATGGGGACAGGGCCTGGATGGGGACACTGTGATGACGGGGACAGCCTTGGGGGGGATGTGGACATGTGGGCTTCTGTGGTCATTGTGCCCTCTGGCTGTGGGGGTGTCCTCACCCCTGTCAGGGCTGGCTGGTGAGGGCAGGCAGAGGGTGATGACGCTGTTGTGGTCCCCAGGGCCACCAGGGCACGTGTCCCCAGGAGAGTGTGTACTGTGAGAACAAGTGTGGGGCCCGCATGATGCGGCGCCTGCTGTCCCAGCACGCCCTGGCCGAGTGCCCCAAGCGCACCCAGCCCTGCACCTACTGCTCCAAGGAGTTTGTCTTCGACACCATCCAGGTGAGATGGAGCCCGTGGAGACCCTCACCCTGCCAGCTCCCAGCCCCAGCTGACAGCCTCTCTGCCTCCCCAGAACCACCAGTACCAGTGTCCCCGGTACCCCGTGCCGTGCCCCAACCAGTGCGGGACGCCCAGCATCGCCCGGGAGGATGTGCCCACCCACCTCAAGGAGAGCTGCAGCACTGCCATGCTGCTGTGCCCCTTCAAGGAAGCTGGCTGCAAGCACCGGGTGAGTGCTGTCCCTGAGACCAGCCTGCCCTGGCGTCCTTGGGCATGCACTGCTGTCCCTGCTGTGTCACTGCTGTCCCCACAACATCTCCACACCACTCCTGCCCCCATGTCTGTCCCATCCCTTGTGTTCAGCCTCATCCATGTGGCTCCATGACCTCACCCCCGTATTTGCCCCCCAAGTGTCGCCCTACCACCCAACCAGGTGTCTCCGTGCCGCCCCTGTGTCCCCATGACATCCCTGTGCAGGTACCCCCTGCTCCAATGGCATCTCCCTGTTATCCCCACGGCACCTCCTCTCCTGTCCCGTGTCCCCCTGCTGTCCCTGCCACCCCGCTGCTGACAGTCCTGCTGTCCCCGCAGTGCCCCAAGCTGGCCATGGGCCGGCACCTGGAGGAGAGCACCAAGACCCACCTGGGCATGGTGTGTGCCCTGGTGAGCCGGCAGCGCCAGGAGATCCTGGAGCTGCGCCGGGACGTGGAGGAGCTGTCGGTGAGCAGCGACGGGATCCTCATCTGGAAAATCGCCGACTACGCCCGCAAGCTGCAGGAGGCCAAAGCCCGCAGCAACTACGAGTTCTTCAGCCCCCCGTTCTACACCCACAAGTACGGCTACAAGCTCCAGGTGTCGGCTTTCCTCAACGGCAACGGCAGCGGCGAGAGCAGCCACCTCTCCGTCTACATCCGCGTGCTGCCGGGCGAGTACGACAACCTGCTGGAGTGGCCCTTCTCCTACCGCGTCACCTTCTCCCTGCTGGACCAGAGCGACCCCTCGCTCTCCAAGCCCCAGCACATCACCGAGACCTTCCACCCCGACCCCAACTGGAAGAACTTCCAGAAGCCGGGAGCCTCGCGCAGCTCCCTGGACGAGAGCACCCTGGGCTTCGGCTACCCCAAGTTCATCTCCCACGAGGACATCAGGAAACGGAACTACGTGCGGGACAACGCCATCTTCATCAAGGCCTCGGTGGAGATCCCCCAGAAGATCCTGGCCTGAGCCCCGGAGGGGGACGGGATGTGCGCGGGGTGCCCGCCCAGGGGTGCCCCAGCTGGTGCTGAGCCCCTGCCCGCGGCCGCTGTCCCCGGCGTGGGGACGCCGCCGTGGCGCCGCGGTGGCTCTCAGGACAGGCAGGGTCGGGGCTGCTCCCAGGTCCCTCCTGGGGCTGGGACTGTCCAGCAGCCCCCTGGGGCAGCCCCTCCTCAGGTGCCCGGGGGGCTGGGCCCCCTGAGCCCCTCCCCGAGGTGCCAGCAGCCCCCGCCAGCCTCGCTGGGGACCCTGCAGGACCCCGCTGGCCAGAGCCATATTTTGTAAACCGGTGCTCCCCAGGTTGTTATTTATTACCCCGGGCTGGGGCTGCCGCCCCCTCCCCACATTTTTTTTTCTTTTCAATAAACTTTTCTTGTATTTATTACGGCCGCCTGAACCTCCTTGCTCAGCCTGCCGGGATCGGGGTGGCGGGGCCGGGGGATGCTCCTGGGGCTGGGGACAGGGAGAGCCGGGCCCGGGCAGGGGCACGGAGCGGGGTAATCCCTGACCCAATCCCGGCGGCAGACGGGCTCAGATGGAGCCGGTTAATTCGGTAATCACCGGCAGCGGCGGGGCTGGAGGAGCCGCCAGCCCCGGGGGGCTGTGTGCCTGCAGGGCCCCCTCGGCCCCATCAGCCCCTCGTTAGCGCCGGGGTAATTAACGCCCCGGGGAGGGGCATCCCGAGCAAACGGGGTGGGCGATGGTGGGGGGCGCTGGGGCAGACTGGGAGGGGTCGGGCTGGATCTGGCCCCGTGTCCGTGTGTCTGGCCCCCCTCCCGCCACCCCGGCGGCGATGGGGGAGTCGCTGTCTCCGCAGGATAATCCCACAATTGCATTAGCGCCGCTCCGGTTTGATGCAATTAGCCCCTAATTAGCTGCACCCTGCGGCCCTGGCTGGGCTGGTGGGGGGCAGCACTCTGGGGGTGTCCCCGTACCCCGTTCCCCCCTCATCCCCCCCAGGAATGTCCCCTGAGCAGGTCCCAGCCCGGTGTGGCAGCCGGGGGAGCTGGGCAGTGCTCCTGTCCTTGCTGGTACCCAGTGCCAGCCTGCTCTGGTGCCCAGTTCCTGCCCGAACTGGTGCCCAGTGCAAGCCCACCCCTCTGCCCAGTGCCAGCCTGCTCTGGTGCCCAGTTCCTGCAAGCCCACCCCTCTGCCCAGCGCCAGCCTGCTCTGGTGCCCAGTGCCGTTCCTGCACTGGGGAGAAATGCAGGTCCATACTGGTGCCCAGTGCCAGCCCAGAGTGGTGTCCAGTCCATACTGGGCCACCAAACTGGGGTCTGATGCCAGCCCATTCTGGTGCCCAGTGTCAGCCTGTACTGGTGTCCACCCTGGCACCCAGTGTCACCCCACGCCCGTGCCCAGTGCCAGCCTCAAGCTGATTTGTGATGCCAGCCCCTACTGACGGACAGTTCTTGCCCATGCTGGCGCCTGGCGTGCCCAGAATCAGCCTGTGCTGGTGCCCAGTGCCAGCCCAGAGTGGTGGCAGCTCTGACCCACACTGGTGGCCCATGCTAGCCCACACTGGTACCAGTGCCAGCCCAAACTGCTGCCCAGGGCCAGCCCACACTGGTACCAGTGCCACCCAAACTGGGGACTATTGCCAGTCCATTGCCAGCCCGTACTGGTGCCCAATTTCAGCCTGTACTGGTGCCCAGTTTCAGCCCATACTGGTGCCCAGTGCCACCCGTGTGTTAATGTCCAGTGCTACCCCATACTGGTGACCCGTGTTGGCCCACACTTGGTGACCGGTTCCAGCTCTTCCCAGTGCCAGTTCCAGCCCATCCCAGTGCCATTCCAGTCCGTTCCAGTGCCAGTGCCAGTTCCAGTCCATCCCAGTGCCAGTTCCAGTGCCAGTTCCAGGCCCAGTTCCAGCCCATCCCAGTGCCATTCCAGTCCGTTCCAGTGCCAGTTCCAGTTCCAGTCCATCCCAGTGCCAGTTCCAGTGCCAGTTCCAGGCCCACTTCCAGCTCTTCCCAGTGCCATTCCAGTCCATCCCAGTGCCCAGTCCCAGTCCATCCCAGCGCCAGTTCCAGCCCATCCCAGTGCCAGTTCCAGTGCCAGTTCCAGGCCCAGTTCCAGCCCATCCCAGTGCCAGGTCTAGTCCATCCCAGTGCCAGTTCCAGTGCCAGTTCCAGGCCCAGTTCCAGCCCATCCCAGTGCCCAGTCCCAGCCCATCCCAGTGCCAGTTCCAGCCCATCCCAGTGCCCAGTCCCAGCCCATCCCAGTGCCCGGTTCCAGGCCCAGTTCCAGCCCATCCCAGTGCCATTCCAGCCCCTCCCGGTGTCCCCCCGTCCCCCTCCCCGCCCGGTGCTCGGCTCAGTGGCGCCGCCTCGTGGGGACAGAGGGGAGGGGAAGATGTTGATAGAAATTTATTGCCTTATAATTTATATAAATGAATAATAATTATCATCATTATTATCATTATAATTATTATGTTAACAAATTGTTATAATTTGTATTAAGTATACATTTCATACTTACATATTTTATGCTTATTTTTATTCTATATTAATTAATTTTATTTAATATATACATTTTATATCTGATACTTTAAAATATTTTAAATTTAATATTTCATATACTATATAAGTATACTTATATTATTATATCAAATTTCATATATCAATAGAATTGCATTACATAATATTTTAGTATTTTATATTATAGAAATTTTATCAGTGTATTTACACACCTTCCATACTTCATATTTTTCATACATTTAATTTCTATTTAATAGCCATTTATAGCTCTTGTTCTTATATTTTATAGTTTTTATGTTTTATATTTATTATGTATGTTTTATTTCTATATTTTTATTTGTGTGTGTATATACACACATATACACACACAGAGTACAGGGACAGCCCTGTCCCTCTGACCAGCCCACACACAGGGTGTTGACAACCCTTTATGCCAACAAGTTGCTTTATAAAATAAAATAAAATCAAAATCCTTATATAATTTATGCACTAAAGTGGGAAACGGTGCTGGAGGAAGCCTGGGCAGCAGCTCCTGGATGAAAAAAACATCCCAGGGAGCTTGGAATTATCCCCGTCCCCACCTCAGGGAGCAACCCCAGCTCTGCTTTCCCTGCCCGGGTGGATTTTCCCCTTTCCCTGCCCCTTTCCAGCCTCTCTGAGGATGTGCTGCTGGGTGCTGCACTCCAGCTCCGATCCCCGGGCACGTCTGGAAATGTCAGCGGGATCTTGGAGCACCTCTTAACCTTCAGCGTGGCAGGGCCTGGGCCAGGGAAAGGCAGGAGGGGGGATGCTCTCCATGCTCGGGGAGGAGAGGGAGACAAATCGATCCTTGCTGCTAAATTTAGCCTCAAATATCAAGATTAAAAATAAACTTCCTGGAAACTTGGTGGTTTGAGGGTTTGTTCTAAAGGTTTGTGCTGCCAGCTCACTCCCTGCTCCGCAGTCCCAACGTCGCTGAGGTGCTGGAAGGACCTCCAGAAGATGCTGAAATCAGGGAGGAAAATCTTATTAAATATCTGAAAAATCGAGGAAGGCCCCACCTGGAGAGCCCTTTGCCTTTGTAAGACCCCCACCACAGTGGAGATGCCCTGAATAACCCTCAAACCTTTTTAACCTCTTTGGGATTGTAGACAGGGAGGATTTTTGGCAAAACCACTTCATCTGCTCACACTACAGAACCCAAATCTGTGCTGATTCTTGATGCTTCATTTCCAAGGCAATGAAACCTGACATAGACACTGTATAGGGAGAAAAATGTGAGAAAAATTCCCTTTGCACATCCTTTATTAAAGACCTGTCTGGGTCCCCTCCCTCCCCATTTGCCCCAGGACTGAGGGGTTTGTGGCCAGTGAAAGCTGACAAGATTTCACAGCAGTTTTTTGGTGCTATCTCCCTTCACTCTCTCTACATCTCTCAGGCTTGCAGCCACCCCAGCAGAATCAGCAGCCTGTACCCAACTGCTTTGAAATTAACTTAAACTAAGCAGATAAAGCACTCCAGTAATTTTATTGCAATTTGGCTCTGCTGAACGTTGAAGAGCATCCCAAAGGCAGCTCTTGCTGGAGGGTGTCAGTGTGTGCTCCTCCAGCAGCTGACCACAGTGTGCCACTTCTCTTTGGCTCCTCCACCCTCTGGACCCCCCAGGACCCCTCCAGGATTTTTTTTCCCAGGATTTTTTTCAGCTCTGAATTTTTGCAGCATCCCCAGTGTTGCTCCTCTCTGAACATCACAAGCTGCTGGAGCTGCTGGAGTTCACATCTGGGTGTTGCCTACCTTGGGTCAAAATCTTTGGAAGAAAAACCCATTTGACCCTAAAGGAGAAGTTTGAAAATGTTGGATTTTACTCAAAGCCCTCAGCTTAGCTGTGGCTGCAGCTGCTCACACCAAGCCCCTGCTGGATTCTTTTCCACCAGATCCTTGCTCCAGGTCCAACTGGCTGCAGAGATGATGAGAAAGTCTCCTGAAAACTCCTTGCAGAAGAGATTGTTCCTGTTGGGGGGATGGATGAAGAAACCAGATACCAAAGAAGCTTTGAGTCAAAGGAGAAGAGGATCCTGAAGCTCTGATGGATGGAGTGGCTGCTGTTGGAATTTCCGGCTGCTGGAGAGGGATGCAGCAGTGCCTGTGGGCAAACAGCTCTTCCTGCCTAAGCTCAGCCTGGCTAAGCTGCCTGCTTTAGCCCAAATTCCAGGAAAACCATGTGGGAACCAAATGTCCACAGCATTTGGGGAACAGTGGGAACAGGAGGAAGGAGGGATTTGGACGCTCAGGTTTGCAGTGCACAGGAGATGGAGTTTTGTCCTCCTGAGAGATGGAAGCAAAGATGAAATGAGATGTACAATCCTGGGAGAGGGGAGGAAACCCTGGCAGGTCCCATCTTCTGGAAGGTGATTGTGAATGTTACAAATACCCTTCAAAACTTTGGCAGGACTCAAACCCCTCCTCCTATTTTTAACCATTATTTCAGCACCTTTCTCTCTGAGACTCTTTCTCTGTTTTTCCAAACCTTTCCTCTTACTGGAGCAGTCAGCCAGACTCTGCCTGATCCATTCCTACCCCAGAAACCCATGGAGACCCTTCCCTAAATTCCCTCTGGGACAAGCACCTAACCTGTGGCTCCACCTCACACTACAGAAAAACCAGCAGATGGGACAGAGGTCTCTTTATTTTTCCTGTGGACAATATAATAACAATAAAGAAAATTCTAATTGGTACCCATAGCACAGAAGCAGCAGCCTTGATCATCAGTCTTGTGGCTTAATGAAACACAGCAGCAATTCCCAGTTCTGTCCCCAGTGATCCCCAGCAAACAGCTCTGGTTGGTTTCCACGGGAGCAGCCAAGGCCCCCAGAGACATCTGACATGGAAAGCTTAAAGAAAACTCACATCTTCTATAAAATGTTCACTTTGGGCTGTAGCAAACTGGGCTTGTGGCTGAACAGCTCCAAAGCTTCTGCTCCAAACTTGGGGCACAGATTCCCTGTGGAAGGGCTCACACCATGCTTATCTTTCCCAGGATCCTCCTAAGGTCCAGCTCAGGGTTCTGAAGTGGTGTGGGGATGGGGAGGATGGAGCTGCTGCTGAGGAGCTCAGGAAACACCCGAGCTTTGCTCATTCCTCAAGGAGCAGAGCAGGCACCCAGGATCCAGCAGGAAGCAGAGCCTGGTGCTGGAGTCAGTGACCCACGGATGGACAGATGGACAGGAAGGCAAGAGGAGCTGCAGTGCGAGCCCCAAAGGTTGGTGAGGGCCCACAAGGAGCTCCTGGAAGAGAAGGAACATTCCCAGCCTTTGGGTTCCTCTTAATTCTGCACTGGGCAAAGAGAAAAAACCACAGGAGGTTTTTCCATGTTTCCAGGAGAAAAGGAAACAGTTTCTACCACACAAGGCACCACAAGGCTCTTCCCTTCCTCACCCTGGTGACAGTGCCACGGCCAGACCCCCACCCTGGGCACCTACACCAACCTTTGCTCCCAAAATCCCCCCTGGAATGAGGCAGGACAGTGCTTCTCCTTAGGGGTGAGCAGGGAAGGATGGAGAGCCCATCACAACAGGGCTGCTGCAGAGGTGAAAAGGGTTGGTTCAAAGAAAAATCTCACTCCCAGACCAAAAGGAAAGGTTTCAGTATATTTTAATAGTAAAATGATTCTTATTTTTTTCAAGCAATGTCCCACCTGGATGAGTCTCAGCAGGAATTTTGCTTCCCGGTCCTGCTGTACCGGGGCAAAGCCTCCGAGGTCGTGGCTGTACCTGTGCAGAACAGTCCCCAAAAACTCACAGCGTGCTGCCAACACCACCAAAACCTCCCAGGCAACCACCACCACGGCACAGGACTCTGCTCAGGCTCTCGGGAGAAGAGCAGGAGTTAAAAATTAGCTTTTAGTAACAGTCTGGGTTACGATTTGGAGCAGGCTACGGAAGAGAGGAGAGGCCAAGGTTTTATTCAGTAAAAAGGGAGCAGAACACCTTACAGTGACTGACGGGCAGGGAGGGGTGAGGTCAGAGCACAGCCCTCGCTGGGGTGGGTTTGGGACGGGGAGGACGACGGGGTGACTGTAGGGGAAGCAGCTTCAGACTCGAACTCTGGCTCCAACAGAATGGATTCAGAAAAATATTGCATGAAAAGCCTCAGGATTTTCGTTCTTTCATAGATGTATATTTACCAGTTTTCACAAAGACTGCAGGAATACGATTATAAACAATAAATTAGGACTTCATGTTGCTATCATTTGGCATAACACAATCAGGCAATTTTTCCTTTTTTTAAATATAAGGCAACACAAGCCAACACATAATTTAATCCGTCTTTAGTCAAATTGCTTAACTTTGCTCAGGAGTTACCACTAAAAACGGGTTATAGTACACTTAAAAGAATTTAAATAATGACATGATATAAGTGTACTAACTTACGCAAGGAGTCAGAAATGTACTCTGCTAAGCTTTGAAACCTAAATATTTGTTACAGCCCAGGACTACACATTCTAAATTAAAAAAATACAAATAAATGTTTTCTAATTTTCCCATTTACGAAAAACTTTTAAGAATCTCTAGCCAACTATGACGTCACTTCAAAACTTTTTTTTTAATTTTTTTTTTTTTAAATTTTGTATGATGTCTTTAAGATTTTTTTTTTAAACCATGCTCATTAAGGAAAGTTCAAGGAGCAAATACTTAAGGCTTTGTTTTTCCAAGGGCTGTGAGGGAGGCCAGTGGATGGCAGAGGCCAGTGGGTTCACCCATACACAATGCTACTCAAACCCACACTACCAGGCGACATTCATACAGAAATATTACACTTAAAAGTTACAGTGTAGAGCAATATTTTTTAGCCAGTGTACATAGAAAGAATCAATGCATTTATTTTTTTAAACTTTTTCTTCTTCTTCTTTTTTTTCTTTTTTTTTTTAATTTCCAAACTTGATTGTGATCATTATGTTCAAGTATTAGTCTCGTTAACAGAGATGAGGAATTTTCTACTTACAATAAATTCGGCTGTTAGAAAGGAAAGGGATGTTTTGGTACACAGAGGAGAACAAGATGCTGAGGTTACCCAGTAGTTAGTGTCCTACAGTCACTGACTCAACTGGCTGCTGGAAGTGACGTGGGGAAGGAACAGAAGGAGTTAGGCACCGAGACCCTGGGAAAAAGGGATGTTATAAATAGCTTCACTAATTCCCAGGGAGAAGAATTGTTCCATTAAATCCGCTGGGGTGTTTTGATGGAGAGGAAGAGGGGACTGTCAATCCCACAGTGGCTTTTGAGAGGAGCTTTGATTCAGACCAACAGCCTCCCACCCCACAGCGAGACTGCGCTCGCTGCGCCGGGCTGGGCTGAGCGGCATCTCCTCACCCTGACAGTAATTCCAGCTTCCACAGAAGTGGCTGAACCCTTTTTGGAGTTGTCAGTGGGTCTGGATTCCCTTCACACGAGGCTGGCCAGACTCCTAGCAGCGAGGGATTCAGACAACGTGAGCTTTGAGGCTGGTGGAAGGGCAGTGGGGAGGGGGAACACGAAGAAAGGCAGCTCCCCGTGGCTGCCTCCATCCCAAACCCGCTGTTCCCCTCCTCATACCCTGTCCAGAAAACAGAAAGCGTCAGAAAAATCTGCCAGAGACTTTTGACTTTGGACAAAATCTAAATTATAAACGTGGGCAAGAAACAGCTGAAAAGCTTCTCCCTCTATTAAAGCCTAAATACATACCCCTAGCAGGCTCTTTTCAAACATAGGCTCTTTTTCAATTACACAGGCCTCTAGACAGTGCAAATGGTCAATGTTTAATGCATTAATGAAATGGGCTTTTGAGTTGAAAACAAGCCCTACTCCCTGACAAAATTCTGTTGCTCTTAATCTTGTGAGGAAATTGAGATGGAAATGGAAGCAGCTACACTACCTCGCTCTCGCCGGAGCACAGATGCGGCTGCAAAACCCTGCAGCAACCCAACCTCAGGCCAGCGAGGAGCTGCTCAGCAGAAGGCAAAAAAAAGCTGTACAAAGGGGGACTCTGCAGTGAGGAAACAGCTGTGGCGCGAAGTAGTGTAATGAAATTCTTTGACACAAAAGGCATGTTAAATATTTGATGCATAAAGGAGAGAGATAACATGTAAGCAAAGCTCTTTAGATATACAGTATGTCTTCTTCCAATGGGTACTATAATGATCACACAAGTTTGCAAGTTAAAAACGCCTTGCTTATTAATTAAAATTAAGACTAAAACCTATAATTTTTTTTTTTTTGTCTGTGAAAGTGACTGCAGCCTATCTATACCCTGGGTGTTGAATATGAAGATTTCGACTATCGGTTGGTTCAGGTGCTCGGTTCATGGGAGGCCGATGGACTTTTCCCAGCACCATGCTCTGGTCTCGGAAGCAGGACTGCTGGAAGTCCCCACTTAGGTAATCCATGGTCTGCATCACATTATTCTGGCTGGATGGGCCAGCTCCAGCTCTGTAATGAGTTCCTCCTGCACAATCCAGCGTCGCTCCTGCTGGCTGTCCCCCATGGAAAGGCATGGTGAGGTCCTGGGACCCAGAGCTGTCACTGTTGGGCGTGGGCAGGATGTTATTCCAGAGGGGCTGGAAATAGTGCCCATTGGTATATGGCAAAGGTCCCTGCAACCCGTTCACAGGCGGAGAAGGCGTAGGCTTCTCAATGGGGGGCTTCAAGCTGAAGGACTGGCCCATGCACAGTTCTTGAGGGTAGTTGGAAGTTTTGCCAGGGAAACTCTGCCCTGCGATCTCTCTCTGAGGGTGCTTCCCTGCGAGTCCAGCAGGCCCAGCAGCATCCCCACACATTTGCTGCAGATGTGCAAGCTGGTGCTGGTTCCACGCAACCGATTTGATTTCGTTCTGGTAGGCGGGTGGCACCCTGTTAATATTGACCATGGGCACATTAACAGAGGCAGGAGGAATAGCAGCAGCAGCATGGTCGACAGGGTTTACTACACAGGAAGGCATGGGTGTAGGGACATTGTGAGTAGATACCCTGGTACTTGCATTGATAAGCAGGTTGCGACTTATAGGGCTGGGGTTTGCAATCTGTCCCTCACACACTGAGGTAGTGCTAATGCCAGCTCTGGCCTGGCAGAACTGGTTAATCTGGTGCACAATGCTGCTCAGGTCCGGTGGCTGGTTCTGCTGCAGGGTGGCAGCCATAGAGAGGGGAATGGTTGAGGTAGACACGGTCACATTCGGCGGCGCGTCTGCATCCGGCATCTTTCTGCCTCCATGTAAACCCGGCTGCAGCAGCGGGTTCTGGGGGTGCTGCAGGGTCTGGTGTGCCATGGGCTGCGGGTGCTGCAAGCCCTGCGGCTGCTGCATGTTCTGCGGGTGCGGCAGCGCCTGCGGGATCCCCTGAGGGTGCGGTAAGCTGGGTGGCTGTGGAATACCCTGAGGGTGCTGCGGGATGCTCTGGGGGTGCGGCAAAGTCTGTGCATGCTGGAGAGCCTGCTGGCGAGCGAGCGCCTGGGGGTGGGATAAAGTGCTTGGTGCAACGTAGGGCGTGGAGGGGGGGTTCATCATCGCCTCCGGCAGCAGGCGCGCGCGCGTCCCGTCAAAGTCCTTGATGATTCCTTTCGCTGGGGATTTGACTATGGCCAGCAGGCCCGTTTTTGTGGTGGCCTGAGATGGGTAGGGGCTGTACCTCTGGCCCGAAGTATCGAGTCCGTTCACAGTACGGCGAATGTGTTTCCTCTGGGGAACCTTGACGCTGTTCGGAAAGATTTTTATAGTCAGTGGATTGTTGGCGACCTTCTTAGCATAAGCATCCAATTCTGCTGGGGTAGGATACTGTGCAGATCTCATTTTCTGTGTAGTGTCCCCTGCGGAGAAAGGAAATTGGTCAGTTCTGGTAAGCAAGGGATCAAGCCCAGGGCAAGACAGTCACACAACAAGGGTAGAAAATCTCCAAGGATTCAAGAGGCAAGGAAACTTCATCCTGCCAGACCAGCGGGTCACGGAGCAGAAAGCAGATTCCCTTTATTACCTGGTGACCAACACAAGCCCCAGTTCAGCTTAAGGCAAGACCTGCCCAGGGGAGCAAAACAAAACCGTGTTCTCATCAGAGTATGTTTGCAGTTGGACAAAAACAGGTAATGTGTTATAAACATTAGATTGTCTCCAGCTGAAATATTCCTCACAGCTTGCAGTGGTGGGCTGGATTTTATTCTCTTAATTTCACCTGCCTCTCCATTGCTCTTCAAACCATTCTCAGTATTTTTACCATGGAATTCCAAATCAGAAAGATATGAACTAAACATGAAGCCCCTGCAATCCTGAGGTGGAACCATTCTATGGTGGGCTGACCCTGGCTGGGGACCAGGTGCCCCCAAAGCTGCTCTGTCACTCTCTTCCACTCTCTTCCTCAGCTGGCCATGGAAGAACAAACACAGGGTCAGAATAAGGAAGGGGAGGTAGCACTCACCAACTACTGTCATGGGCAAAACAGACTTGGGGAAATTACTTTAATTTATTACCAATCCAGTCAGAGTAGGGTAAGGAGAAATAAAAATCTCTTCCTTCCACCCCTCCCTTCTTCTCAAGCTCAACTTCACTCCTCACTCCTGACTTTCTCCACCTCCACAGCACAGGGAGATGGACACAGCTGCCTCACCATGGGCTGCATGGGAATCTCTGCTCTGGTGCCTCCTCCTTCTCCCCTCCTTCTGCAGTGCCCTGGGGGTCTGTGCAGAGCTGTTCCTCTCACACATTCTCCCTCCTCTCTCCAGCTGCAGCTGTGCAGGTTTTTTCCCCCTTCCCCCTGTGTGTGTCCATCCTGGAGCCAGCTGGAATTGGCTCCATCAGACATGGGGGAAGTTTCTGAGCAGCTCCTGCATCCCCCCACTACCAAACCCTCGCCCTGCAATCCCTATACACATCAAAGCTTCAGCTCAAGCCTCCATTTACACCCCACTCCTTTCCTAGGTGCTGACATCTGAAAGCACTGAGTGTCTTTCTGTGCATTAGGAAGCTCTTGTCAGCCCAAACTCAGCAAATGGAAGGAGGCTGATTATTTTATGGCCTGCAATTATTTCTTCGGCTGACTTTTCAAGGTGGCACCTTGCTAAGGACAACATCCCCACATCACATGGCAAAATGATGTGATTACCTCACAGGATTAAAAACATGCTACTCCCCAGACAGAGACAAAAGCCTTCTGGAGACAGAGGTGTGGTTTCACTTCCTCTGATTTACCAGATACCTACCTGGCTCACAAGCTCCAATTGCTTCTGCAAAGAACTTCAGAAATCTAGGGAAATGCATGTGTGTCTCTTGCCATAATCACATTCCAAGCAGAGAGTTGGGCTGTTTCCCACCACAGCTCTGCTGCCTAACTCCTATGGGACTCCTGCTGATTTTATAATCTTCAAATAATGGCTTGCAGCTTTGACAATCCAATTTAGCTTTTGCTTGATTTCCCCCCACCTCACCTTGCAAACAGTTCACTGGAAAAAAAGGTCCCTCAATTTTCCTAAAATTTTCAGTATCCCTGTGCTATTTGCTGTGCTGAGAGGACAGGGAATGTGGCAGCCACCCAAGAATACCCCAGCCCCATATCTGGCCCTCTGACCCAAGGAAATTTAATGCTCCAGCAAAGAGCTTTCTGCTCTCAGGAAAACAGCCCTTCCTCTTGAAAATCCACCTCTGATTCTTTCAAGCAAATTGCCTCAAAAGATAAGTACCAGCCACTTCTGTCTTTGCATCCTGCAGCTTCCTGTTGTCACAGGTGAGGGAGAGCAGCTCTGCTCTAAGAGCTCTCACTTTCAGAAAAGAAAGGTCAGAAAATGGAAAATAGAACGGATACCAGAAGAAAGGTTAATTATGGAAGTATTAAAAATATCTTTTGTGAAATAAGAAGCTTTCCAAGCAGTTTGTCTCCCATCTCTAGCACAGCTCGTACCACGGCGCCGGTTATACCTGCACTCCCTGTGCTGTCCAGACATGGCACACACCATCCCTTTCCCTTAATCAAAGGAAATATTAACCCAAACATCTCTCTGTGCACATCCCTGTACCTGTCTCTGCAGGCAGGTGGTTTGTGTCTGCCCTTTTGAGCGAGCTGCTGTGCTCCTAAGGGAGAGGGGAGCCTCCGAATGGCATTTGCCAGTATCACCCTGCCTCAAAAGCCAAGGCCTTTGTGAACTCCCAACCTTTATTTTTAGCATTGCCCACGCTCATTAAGGTCTGTTTCTTCCCCAAGACACGACCCTGGCAACCCCCCATGAACCAGAGAAGAATCAAAGGACAAAGGACCCCATATCTGTCTGTGTTATGGTTTATGTTGTGCTTGCAGACACTGTCACATTCTATTTTCAGATGAAGAATTAAGGAGTTACTTTAAAGACACCTTTGCCATCAAAATTTCCCAGTCTGGTTTACATTTTTATAGGCAAATCAGCAAATTAAATATAAACAGTAAACAGACATACTGAGTATTCTTTTATCCAATAATCTGATTTTCTGTTACACAGAAGTTTCAGGAAGCAGCTAAAACATGGATGTTTGAACAGGCTGCAGCCATCAGTCAGTCAGACACACCTCTACTCCCAAACCTGGAAGAACTCCTTCCTCTGAGTGAAAACAACCCCTCAGTTAAACTTAAATGACATCCCAGCATCAAGTCTGGCATCCTAGCAAAGGCAAACCACCTCTTAAAGCCCTTGGGTGGGATCTTCTGAACCCAACCACCATTCCAAACAGCACCTGATTATGTACAGGTAAGATGATGCTCTTTTTACTCCAGGCTAACTCAGCCGTGTTACTCAGGCCTGAAGGTGATGTATTTCTGAGTGCCCCAGAGTGCTTTGCTAGTAGTTCCACAGGCAAGATTCCATGACTGTAGTAATTAAGGCAGTAAAATGTTAGAAGAAAGGCATAACACAGTGAGCAAGAATCTGAATATCCCATACAAATACCCTACAAACCAATAAAGAACAATTAGTTCTGGTAACTAAGTGAATGAAAAGCCTGCTAAAATAGTCTGAAAGAAAATGCTGGTACTGGAATATCATCATTTGTGTGCAAGAGGAAGAATTCCAGATCAGGCCATAATAAAATGATGAGGCAACAGCAGAGGAAGAAGCTTCATTAGGAGAACAATGGGATGAGCTCCAGGAAGCTCCCTAATGGTGAAGGCAAGGCAGAACACTTTTATTGAAAAGTAATTATTTCATGTTTATTATAAGGCAAAGCTGTGCATATGAGCAATTACCCCAATAAACTGGTGAGCTGCAAGTTCACAACTCCTGCTAATCCCGTGGCAACCAACTCTGGTCACACTCCTGGTCTCACCACTGCAGCTATTTTTGTCATGGAATGAGACAGATTTCCCTGCCTCACCTCAGCACTAATGGAACATCTTTTAAGTGCATTTCACATTAAGACTTTAAAACCCACTGCTTTTTAAAAGCTGCCTATGGTTAAATTTTCATTATCATTAAACAAAATACAAACAGGCCTTCAGGATTGCTACCCTAATGAGAGCTCCTGTTCTGGGACAAGCCAGAACCAGCTGTGCCCACCTTCTGCAAAAAACCCTCAATTTTAGCAGTTTCTCTAAAGGCTTTACAGAAAGAACCCTTCCAAAAAGACTCAGTTTAGTTGATGATCCCATATTCAGTCTAATCTCCTCTTCTCTGATGTCCCCTCCTAATAAAGCACTTCCTAAGGAGCACCTTTCACTTGATTTTGCACCATTGTCACAGAAAAATGACCTTTTTTTCTCCCCAGAAGGTCTGGCATTGCTGCTATGCCCAACAGCAGCTGCAGACACAGCCTGAACAATTTTACCTCAAATATCCCAATTGACCAGTCAGGTTTATACTGAACTCACTGGGAGGAAGGAGAAAATATCAATACTGGGACAATGAGAAATGCCCTGTGTGGAAAAGGAATTCCAGGGTTAGCCTGAACTCAGGGTGGAATTCAACAAAAAATGCTGAAATTGGAAGTCCTTTAGTCACCAGTTTCTAAAGGAAAAAATATGTGCATATTAATCCACCAAACTCCTACTGCACAGACCACTTGTAAGAACAAGCCCCTTATTAGAGAGTGAATATGGAAAAAGAAGGTAATTGAGCTAATATGGATTTTTAAGCACTAATAGGAAGTATGATTCAGAAAACTACACTTAAAAATTATTAATACAAACACTGTAAGCCTGAAGAAAGGCACTCCTGTGGAATCCTGTACCTTTTATAAAAGCAACAGAACTATTATTACAGCCTGCCTCCACCCCCCACCAAAGTCTCAAGTCACTGTTCATTAAAAAATGCTCATTAACTCAGCTCTGCCCTGGCCAGGGGCTGGGCTACTCATGCATCTCCAGCAGAAGAGAAATGCACCAATTAATCCTGCCCACATCTGCAGCGGGGCTGAGCGAGGTCTGTACCAGCAGCCTCATCTTCCATAAAATCAGAACAAACCCAACAGCTGAGCATTGCCACTGCCAGCCCGTGCCTGCCAGCTACTTTATGTCCTAAATTCTTTGAAATGCAGTTCCCAAAGCTCTTCACTGAGCAGGACACAGCAATGCTTTCAGCACATGGATCTGCAAATCTCCAAGAAACAGCATAGGTACCATCAGGTGAGGAAAACTGCCCAAAATACCAGCATGTTGTCTTGTAAAGCTGTAATTAGCAAATACCTGATTTATGCACAGCTGCCCTCACATGAACCTCAACACTTTGCTTTCAGAACTAAGCTCTGACAAAGAAATCTCACGCAATGCACAGACATGGGCACAGCAATGCTCACACTGGAAACAGGAATGAGAAAGGAGGGGATGCCCAGTCTGATGCCATTACCAGTCCTTTGGTGAGTGAAGATTTTTATTGTTGTGGGTAATATTACAGTGACCAAGCCCATGGAGTCAGCAGAAGTGCTGTGGGGGAGCTCAGGTGTGTATGTGAACTGTGCCAGTCACTTCTGGCAGGACCATGAGCAGGTCACTCTTAAGTGCAAAATTATCTTCCCTATTTATTTCCTGTAGCATCACAAGCCTCACTGTATGAATAATTTAGCTCAAGTGGACTGTAAAGCACTTGGGTTTAAAAAGCAACGAGTGCATCAGCAAACTGAGATCTCCCAATGCACATTTCAAACACAAGAGACAGGTCACAGCCCTAAGAACAAATACACAGACCTTACATAGAAATCTTGGCATTTCTGAAATTTCAGCTGAACAATCAGTGTGCTACTTCACTGATAAAGAGGAGAGACAGAGTTAGAGTTAAAAAAAGCTCTAGTCAATAAACTTACATTCCCAAGCACAAGTTGTTCTTGAAAATACCAGTACAACTATGAAAAAAATGATTGAAGTTATCAAAAAAGAATTATCAGAGCACTCTTCAGACATATTTTCAGAGGCACCAAAGAGACATCAGAAAGAAGACGGAAACTTTGAACTTTAGTAATTTGGGCTAGCTCACTAATATTTGCAGTATAAGCCCCAGGTATGTAGAGCAAGAGCTGCTGACCTCAAAAGGTTTGCATTAAACTGATCTAACTTTTATTGGTGTCTACGAGTAATTGCACGAAGGGAAGCGAAAAAGACTGGGGAAAAAGTTGTGCTGAGAAGCAAATCAGCTGGCACACTTTTAGCACAAAACCCTTTCAGCAGAGAGGCACGAATCTCACAGGAACCTCACTTGCTGCATCCTGCTGTGGTTAAATTAACCTTTTCAGAGCCAGGAACAGAGGAGCTGCACACGTGTGAACCTCTACAGCAATTTCTCAGAGCCTTTATTGACAGATGCCTTGAAGGCATAACAAAAGAAACACTCTACATTAAATAGTTTTTCCACTGTATCCTAAATGTTTATGTCACGGTGGTACCAGAGCCAGATTTAACAGTTAACCACATCCTGCAGACAAAACATCACTCACATTTCTGAAGTCCAGTGTTCATCTGCGTGTAAGAAAGAAGCTGAAAGGAGAGGTCGCCTGGTCCTGGCAGACAGGCCAGCATGGCAGACAGGCACTAACACAACATGGGGCATTCACTCCTCTGCACACTGCAACAACAGAGAGACAATTCAAAGTTATAATACAAGGAGGAACAGAGAAAAGAAAGAGGCAAAGAGCCATCCCTGGGTGAAGGCCTGACCAAGCACAGATGCGCAACCGCTGCCCCTGCATCTCCTAATGGCAGCGGAAATACTTCAAGAACTGGGTCATCTGCAGGGTTAAAACCAAAATAGCTGCTGTGCTCTCCTCTGCTGCTTGACACACACAGAATAACCCATAGCTCTGTCCTCACATTTCAAAGGTGGTTGCTATGAATGGTAAAGAAACCACCATCACTCATTTCGCTGTGTTGAAATGCACTGGTATCCACCAAGGCAACTTCTCTGGAGAAACCCTGTCAACTGCTTTTGCACTTAACAAAAAGGCATGGCATGCATAAATTGAAGGCAAAGTATGCAGCACTCTGCCTTGTGGCAAGATTAAGCTGCATGCTACAGCTTGTAATTTCTGTGGTCCATTAGGCTGAAAGATGAATGGCTACAACTTCCTTCATTTCAGCAAAGACTTGCTAACCCGAGCTGCTGTGGGGCAGTAACAGCAGGATGTGCACAAAGGGGCTGCAGAGGTGCCACCATCCTCTTCTGCTTGGTCCAGCATTTAAGAAATCAAACCATGAAATGGAGCACTAAAGCTCTTTGTACATAAACATGGCACAACTCTCCTCAAATCCCACCACTGCTGTGCAAAGGGGGATCCCAATGAGGCTAACTGGGGCTCAAAGTGTCCAATGTTACTAGAATTACAGAGATTTAAGCAGGAACAAGATTTCTAGAGGCCATCTGGTCCAAGCCCCTGCTCAAATCCTCCTGACTCCAGCACTTTAGAAAGTTCTGGGAAACAGGGTGACAGAACCAAGTTGGAGAAATCAGTAGATTTTTTTCTCCTTGTCCAGATGTCCATAACCAATCAGTACTGCTATACAGAGCAAAACACCTAAGGAGCAGCTAGAAAGGCTTTGGGACTTGTTATATAACCTCCAAAACATGGGAAGAGTTGAAGGATTCAAGACTTGTAAGCTGATTTAATTTTAGTCATTGTTTCACAAACCCCAATTAAAACAACTGAGAAGGCATCCAAAGATTAAAAGGGGGGGAAGGAGAAAGCTTGAGCCCAGACATGAGAAGCCCCATCTGCCAAAACCTCTACGAGGCCACTTCTGAAAGAGTCTCACTGCTGAGACGACACAAACAATGCGGTGACAGCGATGTGACACTGTCAGCACTGCCACCTTCATGCTCCAGAAACCTCCCACAGCGGATTTCTGCAGGGACCTTTTAGAGATTTGAATGCAAAACCTCAGCTCAGACCACCAGCACAGGTCAGAGTGCCCACGGAACCTGGCACCAATGGAGTGAGCAGCGTGGACTGGAAGCTTTCCTGCAGCATAGCAATTACTCACTGTGTACAGCTCATTAGCTCCATGTTTATGCATCTCCTCAGCTCAACACGCAAAGGTTGATTAAACCAAAGGCCAAGAAATCTCATACAAATATTAATTTATGAGAGCTTCTGCATCTTCACTGAGCGAGTGCTGTCCAAGGCTGAGTGAGCCTGCTGGGTGCCACTGTGACTAACAAAAATACTTGTGGGCACTGAATGCCAGTCTGACAATGCAGGCTGCTGCCCATTCAGCCTTCCCACGCAGCGTAACACAGACCTGGTGCTGTGAAAACACACACAGCACCTCACCAAGGTGCAGGGCTGACAGCACAGCCACCACCAAAACACGTTTGTATCGTTCTCCATTTCATTCCTAGGAGACAGCAACAATCTGCACTGCCCAACGTCCAAGATATGTAAAACCTGGTAAAATAAACCTAAACCTGGATTTTCTTCTGATTCTCTGAAGGAGATGGAATTCTTGGAGTCTTTCAGACATGATGACTGAAGACCTGTCACATCCACAACATCAAGGAATTGCTTGAGGAGCTGAAAAGTTGCTCAGCCTTTATAGATGAGATTCAGTCATGACTGTGGGTACACAACATTCAGTGAAACTTTGCAAACAGCCTGTGGGCAGCAGTTCCTCGTCCCAAATCATGCCCAGCAAGACCAAACAGACAAAACAAGAATCCAGCTCCTTTTAATCAGAAGACAAAACCACTGTGAGTTGTCAGAGCTTTACCTGAGTAAGCAACAGAAACACCCGCAGTCAGCAAGAAAAAAATAATAATTGTATTTTCCTTTTTTCCTCATTTCATCAACTTCAGAAATCTGGCACAAACAAGACCTATTTCTCAGTGAAAAGCAGACAAACAAAATTAAGCGCCTTCACTGTAGACAGAAAAACAGATCACAGTATTCCCATATTCATCTGAGCATCCACCTTTTACTCCAATAACGTTTGACACCGACCAAGGATTCACTTCCCATCCCTGCAGGCCCAAAGGAGGTCGGTGTCTAAAACATTATTTAATTGATGGCAAGTTTGTGTGCAGCCCTGAAAGGGCAGAGCCGTGCTCTGACTGAGGGAGCAGCATTTCTGGCAGCAAGACGAGGGGAGGGTTTGCTCACCTGCTCCATCATTAACGCTCATTAGAGCCTGAACTGTGACGCTCTCAGAAAGCCTCTTGCTGAAGTGCCCCAGCGAGGTGCACACAGCAATAAACAGGATAATGGCACATTAGGAGAGAGAACAAGTGATTAGGAGTGGTCACAGCATTCACCTCGGAATAGCCAGGCTCCTGCTACATGACAGCAGTGCCTCCTTGAAGGTCAAAACATGTATTTACAGAAGCTTTAGCTCCAGAATGGAGAGCAATGTTTTAGAGAGAGCTATAAAGGCAAGTTGTTCCCACAGGCAGATAATCGTTTTAGGTAATGCCAAAGGTTCACAAAAGACTGGGGTGGCAATAATAATTTTAAAGGAAATACTGGACTTACAAGAAATAATTTGAAGTGGAAGCCTAAAATCACTCTTTTAGCTTGATTTGCAGTAAACAAATTGGTGACATCTAGGTCACTGCTGAGCATTAGAAAAAGAAATTCAGACTTGTATGGAAGTGCTAACCATAACTCCATCGCTGAATTTATTATAATTAAAATCCTGCTTCAGTTTTTCTTCTCTATAAAATCAATACTGGTTTCCATAATCGAGATCTCAGTACTTGAAAACACATTTGAAATATCTTGACAAGCACCCCATTTATTTTTTTCTAGTTAGAAATTTAATTAACATCTATTCCCTTTGAGATACTCAGCACCTGACTACTACTTTCTGACCTGACTCTTGCCCAGCATGAGCTGGCATGGACAGCCCCAGCTGAACTGAAATCCCTGGCATGGGCTGTATTTGGGATTGAGGTGAGCACTTCTGGCTGTCCCAGGATTGGCAGCTGGGCCCATCAGCCCCTCCTGCTTGGGTTTATTCCTTCTAATTAGTCCAGAGCAGGAGATGAACTGAACTTGGCACATCAGGACTGCTCACCAGCAGATCTGGCTCCACGGTGGCGACTTGTGTGGGCACCAGCACCTGCAAAGCTCCAGCCCCCCCAAGAATGAACAGTGTGCTACTGGGGGAACTGGAATGGAGAGGGTTTGCACTGTACCAGGGTCAGTCACACTGTCATCTGAACCAGTCAGCTGCAAACTGGAGAGTGATCTCACCAGTAGGCTGTGGCACCCAGCCATGGAGGGCTGTGAACCATGAAAACTTCAGTTTTTAAATTGCATTTTAAACAGGTTCTCTACACTGGCAAAAGCAGCACAACGAGCTCTGTCTTGAAAAAATATATATAAAAAAAGATAAAGCATATCTCAGGAGGAAAACAATCATTAGATTGGAATAAATAAATAAATACCCCTCTTTGAAGTGATTTTAATCTAATCTGGCTGCGGGATATAATCTTAACAGCACATGTACTGCAGGATGCTCCACAAAATAGCAGGTTTAGACATGTGAACAGATTTTTTTTCTCCTAAGATTTATTAATAATTAAATCAAAGCATGTTAAGCTTAAGAGGGATTTGCAGTGCTTGGGATTTGGGGGTAACTGGCACATCTTCACAATGACTATTACCTTCAGCCTTATTTGCACATCAGGATGCTTTTTGGTTCAGGCAGCACAGTGTCCCCTGTCACCACAAGGCTCACCAGGATGGAAAAACTCACATCCACCCACTGCCCAGGGACACCCCTGCAGAGCCAGGAATCAGTTCCAGTAGAAATTACCACAATATTGCCTTTTCTGACTTAAAATTTTATAATTTTCTGAATTATATTCAACATTTAGTATTTATTGCCTCTGTGCTTCTCAGACCAGGTGGTACTTTTACAACCTAGAGTAAAACCTAGATGTAAAGCAACTACTAGGAAATTTCTAACACAGTTTTATCATCACATAAATGGACCACATATACAGTTATTGCCAAGTTTTTAGATAACACCAGCCTCTGAAGCTCCTGAGAGGCTTTACAGGGTGAGAACACAAAGGAAACAACTCCCCACAAACCACCCCTGGCCACTGAAACATGGGAAACTGAGCTGGTTTAGAGGAAAGCAAGCTGCTAACGTCTAAAGTTAGATTCCTCAAAGTAAACACACATGTTTGAAATTCCACTATTAACTGTGGGCTTGTTCACAAAGCCCGAGGCCAGGAGGAAGCAGGGGAGCATCCACCCACACACAAAAGAAAAATCTCCAAACTATTCCAAGTTTCCAGCACCCTGGGGTCCCGAAAGCCTCTGTGTGAGGGTTGTTAAAGGCTTGTGGCTGTTGTGCTTTGCTCCTCCTCTGCTCTCCAGCCACAAGGCAGTTCCATGAAGTTCCACATCCTCCATGAAGTTCCACATCCACCGTGGAGCTCAGAGCCACCGGCGGGATTTACGGCAGTGCCCCGAGCGCACGCAGCACATGCCAAGCTCTGAGCACATCCATGCTGCAGGCAACAACAAAAACTAACCCGGGCTCTGAAGTTTCTTTGGTACAAATGTCTGTAAGAGCTTGCCAGGAAACGTAATTGAATCCGGGCCAATTTTCATGCTCCGA